TTTACAGGAACTAACCCTGATCCACTCATGGTTCAAGTCTAACCTGACCATTTCAAATTTCCTCATCAATTAAAAAAAAAGAATTGAAACACGTGCTGGTCAAAAGTTAAGTTTGGTGGTATCAGAATGTTGAGATATTTTTGATTAAATAATTGAAACAAAAAAAAAGCAAAAAAAAAAGGTGTAGCTTGGTGGAAACAACCAAGAAGTGAGTGAAGTGAGTTGCAGGATAGCCTTTAGGAGTTTTGTTTTCTTTCTCTTGGAGGTGTGAGCTAGAATATTCCCCACCAATATGTTTTTGGCTATTTAAAAGCCATGCATGGTACACACGGTTAAGTAGGAGAGGGAAAGGGTGTGAAGAGAGAGGTGCTACACAAGATATCACCAATATTGTGTGAGTGAGTGTGGGGAGTAACTGGTTTTTAGTTATTCGGAGAATACATCCGGGTGTAGGGTGTGAAAAGTCTGTTTATAAGTGTCTGGTATTTAGCACTTGTAAACAGAGAGAGTTTTTTGTGTATCGTTCTGAAATAGTGAAGATATAATTTTTCTCTCATATATTCTCCTTGTCTTTGTTCTCTCATTTTTCTGGTGTTCTCGACATTTTTCGGTATCTTACGCGCTTAAAATCCCAACAATTGGTATCAGAGCCAAGTTAAATTTGGGGCGGAGGGATTTCTAAGCGGTAAGAGAAGAAAGTCGAGAACTTGAAAAATGGCATCGGTAAAAAGTTCGAATGTTTCTGTCGAACCTTTCGACGGACGTGGCGATTTTACTCTGTGGCAACAACGAGTAAAAAGTGTTCTTACTCGGGAAGGGACAATCAAATCTCTGAAGGTGAAGGTTCAGAGGACAGAAAAAATGACAGATGCTGAGTGGGCCAAACACCGGAAGAACGACAAACCGGAAAAATTGTCGGAAGAAGAGTGGGAGGATTTGAAGGACATGGCAACAAGTACAATATGCATATGCCTTGCAAATAATACTCTTCGGGAGGTTCTCGGTTTGACGGACCCGGTGGATATTTGGGACAAGCTGGAGAGCCGGTACAAGTCGAAATCGTTGACAAGTAGGCTATACTTGAAGAAACGATTATTTGGTCTCCAAATGGCGGAGGAAGCTAACTTTAATGGGCACTTGGATGAATTTAACAAGATTACAACAGAGTTGGAATCCATTGATGTGAAGATTGAAGAGGAGGACAAGGCGTTGCTTTTGTTGGCTTCATTGCCTTCATCTTTTGACAACATCGTGACCACGCTTTTGTTTGGAAAAGAGACCTTAAAATTTGATGAAGTAGTTGCTGCGTTGTTGATGAACGAGACTCGGCGGGGTGGCAACGGGGTATCAAATGATGGTCAAGCTTTGGTAACAAAAGGCGCTGGTCGGGAACGAGGACGGTCTAAAGAGAGGGGCGGCGTGTCCCAACGCTTCAAATCGAGTAGTAAAAGCTTTCGGTGTTACTACTGCGATGAAGAGGGTCATTTAAAAAGGGATTGTCCAAAGAGGAGGAAGGAAAAGAAGGACGGGAAAACACCCGTGACTGCGGTTGCAGAAAGTTCGAACCAAGCAAGTGAAGAAGACTTGTTTTTGGCAACCACAAAGAGTCTAGGTAAATCGGATTGGATATTAGATTCGGGTTGTTCGTTTCACATGTGTTCAGTTAAGGAACAGTTTGATACGTATCAAACTTGTGATGGGGGTGCTGTGAAGATGGCAAATGGTGCACGGAGCAAAATTGCAGGGGTCGGAACAGTGCAAGTTCGCATGTTTGATGGCGTGGTGAGAACATTAACTGAAGTGAAACATGTACCGGGTCTAAAAGGAAACTTGATTTCCTTGGGGGCTTTAGACTCAGAAGGCTGCCGAATTTTTGCTCAAGGTGGAGTGTTAAAAATTTCTAGGGGAGCAATGGTGGTAGCAAAAGGAGTTTTGTCAAAGGGCTTGTATAAACTTGTTGAAAAAGATTTGACACGGAAGCTGTCAGAAGGAAAAATTACAAGTGCAACAAGCGGAGCATTTGCATGGAAGAAGCGGGTGACGTTTAAAGTTTCTCCAGTTGGTGGAAGCTGTGACCTCGCCGGAACGAGCGAGGTGGAGCCGGACCGAGTTTTATTATTTAATCAAGGTGGAGTTTGTTGAGATATTTTTGATTAAATAATTGAAACAAAAAAAAAGCAAAAAAAAAAGGTGTAGCTTGGTGGAAACAACCAAGAAGTGAGTGAAGTGAGTTGCAGGATAGCCTTTAGGAGTTTTGTTTTCTTTCTCTTGGAGGTGTGAGCTAGAATATTCCCCACCAATATGTTTTTGGCTATTTAAAAGCCATGCATGGTACACACGGTTAAGTAGGAGAGGGAAAGGGTGTGAAGAGAGAGGTGCTACACAAGATATCACCAATATTGTGTGAGTGAGTGTGGGGAGTAACTGGTTTTTAGTTATTCGGAAAATACATCCGGGTGTAGGGTGTGAAAAGTCTGTTTATAAGTGTCTGGTATTTAGCACTTGTAAACAGAGAGAGTTTTTTGTGTATCGTTCTGAAATAGTGAAGATATAATTTTTCTCTCATATATTCTCCTTGTCTTTGTTCTCTCATTTTTCTGGTGTTCTCGACATTTTTCGGTATCTTACGCGCTTAAAATCCCAACACAGAAACCTAAACCCCAGGCCAGCTCTTCTTAGCTCCTTTAACTTTGCTCATTTTCTTTTTAATTAACATTATGATTATTTGGATAAATTAAATATCAGAAAGGTATTCTTTTTGGTGTCCCGATTTCTATTCTCCAAATTAAAGTATATGGTCCCATTTGACATGAGCGTTAAAGATCATCGTTAGCGTTTTGAAAAAGTTATCTAACGATAATTTTTAACATTAATGTTTTCAAGATCTACACCATTAAAATTTTATTTAAAACGTAACGCTAACGCTAATAAAATTTTTTATTCCCAAACAAGGCCTATGTCCCCCATCTTGCTAGGCCTTGACCATATTCGTTTCCCCAGAAAATTGTATCCGTCGAATTTTCACGGAATTTTTAAAAAGAAACTGAAAAGAAAAAAAATGTGTAATTAGATTTCGTTTCGACGAGAATATATCTTGTGAACAACATATTAATTACTAAAGATAAAAATAAATTACAAGCTAAGAGTTATGAGCCAACATCTTTCATCTTTTAAAATTATTTTATTTGCAAATTGGTATATCAATAAGAAATAAAAGTTACTTTATAAAAAAACGTCAATGAAAATATATAAATAAACAAAAATTATCCATATGAGAGAAAAAAATGTAATCTATTTTGGGATAATTCATTTTTTTTGGACAAATGGAATGCTATTTTAAAAAATCTTTTAAATTCGGAAATACTACATGAATAGTGTATGTTCAAGTTCCTCATAATTAAAGTTAAAGTCAATAAATCAATGAGGGAGTATAAAATCTGCTGCGACCTCAAAAAGTCTTAGCATTGGTCCTCTTGAATTAGTTTGGATTATACATCAATAAATCAAATATAAAAGTGAACATATATCACACCATTGGTCCCATTATTTTTTGTCCAATTATTTTTGTGACAGAGAATTGTGACATAAAAATTGAGAAATATAAATTTTATTAAAGTTAAAAGTAAGAAAACAAACAAGAATGAAGTTAAATTAAACAAATGTTACTCCCTCCGTCCTAAAACTTTCTTTTCATTTTTGTTTACGAGATTTGACTGAAGTTGTTTTTCAATTTAATTTATTTGATTATAGGTATAAACTTTAAAAATATAAATTATATAAATAAAGACTACGTCAAAAAAGTGAAACAAAACAAAAAGTGATACGTAGTATATAATTATACTACTTTATCAAATAACTAACGAAAATAGATGATAAAAAAATGATTAAAGTTTAACCGTGCTATAGTAACTAGGAAGAAAGTTTACGGATAGAGAAATTACTTAATATGGTATGTGCAGTGAAACAAATGAAAAAGATAAAAAATGTAAACAAAACAATGTGACAGAAAAATTAATACATACTATGTATATAGTAATTTATTTTCACACATCCCCCAATTCTTTTTCACAGAAATGTACAAATATTTTCATCATGCTTTCAATATTTCCGTGTTTGAAAATGTGCTTGCGCCCGCACGAACAGCTCAACTAGCTAGTCGTCCAAGGTCTCGTGCTCGAATTCTGACAACGACAGTGTGAAGTTAGATTTAATGTAGTAACCAGAGAACAAGGTGAAGTCAAATTGTAATTTATTCCTTGACAACTTGTCGTGTCAGGATGCGGGAGCCATTCGGGGCAAGAAATTCGTCTTTTGAGTCCAATGTTTGAAAATGTGGGACAAAGATATGGTCACAAGGGGGAGCAAATAACCTTGGTGCACTAAGACGTAGTTCAAATTGCCAAGGGCTCCAATAAAGTGTCAATAAAAATTTTGCAATTCTCCCACTTGTGATTTGTGAAACAAACAAAGAGTATTATGACTCACTTTTGCAGTGCCTTTACAACTTGTGGGCAGTCACCCCCAAAATTCATAATGTTCTCGGTGTGCGTTGCGCAGTTGGCAAAGTAAAAGATATCAAACGAGTAATATTCGAGTTAAATTTCCACCAATTGCACTAAAACAAATTATGTCAAACATAAGACCTCTAGAAGTACTAGGTTTAGGTTCCACTTTTTATAACCAATTTCTAATTCAAACTTAATTTACCTATGTCAAATGTTTTTTGTACAAAGTTTAATAATAGCGAAACTATTTACTCCGTAGTTGAGACGTATACTCCGTAATAGCAAAATTAATTAGTTGATACTTATAATAGTGAAATTATTTGGTTGAAACTTATAGAGAAAATAGAGGGCATTCTATTCAGAATCATATCAAATTCTCAAAAAAAAAAACATATATTGATTGAGTTATTGATTAATTTTACCGCTAAATTCTTTCATTTAGATTTGAAAGGTAGTGAGTGTGAGTATTTTGAGTAGTATTTTAATATGCATAAATAGGAAAATGCTACTTTAATCCAATGGATGACACCAAAGTTGACAATACTATCAGAGAATCACACAAACTGTCTATGAGACCCGTCATTGTCGGCAAAGACACTGGTGGTGGTGTTAATTTTGGTGTCATTACTGTCATATGTGAAGTGTGATTGTAGCATGACCCATAGTAAAAGCATGTAATGAACTAGCATATTATGGACATATTAACATATTGTTGCAACCGAGTGATACTGTAATATGTGAATACGACGAAACTGAGGGTAAAGACGTCATTACACAAGACTCTCCATACCTCCATTCATTGTTTGTTGACCCCTTGACTGCCCAAATCAGATGCAGCTTTTGCTGCTCTGCTCAAAGCGCCCGATACCCATAGGGCACCCTTGGAGAAATAGGAGCTGCCTACAACAGCAGTTGCTGCAGCCACAGCAGTTCTACTTGTAGCCGAGACAGCCGATTTTGTATTCTCTGAAATGTGAAACCTCTGATCCACTGATCTAACGGCTTCAACCCCAGCAAAAATCTTGTCAGCAAGGCCAGTCCTCTCGCCTAAATCGGCCACCTTGGCTGCTGCAGTGGCGGACAAATGATATGACTCATCAAGGGCTTTGGCCTTACCCAAAGCATCCTTCCCTAGCACATACCCTTTGGATACCATTGCTTTCACCACGTCTTGGGCCATCATCACAGCTTCACCAGCAGAAGGAAAGTACTGGACCTCTTGTGCATGCCCCTAAAAGGTTAGATATTAGCCAATACGAGATTGATACCACTGAAACATACCCTAACTTGGGAATGGGCATAGATAAACTTTAGGGTCTGTTTGGACCTTGGAAAGTAATTGGGGAAAAATAAAGAAGGGAAAATCAGATAGGACAAGAAGTGTTGAGTGTGTTGGTGGGCGGGGAGGTGGGTAAATATGAGCAATGCTAGGGGTACACCTTTGGTGTACCCCAAATGTACACCACCCCCTTCTCCACCACCCATTTTTATTTTATTTTTATTTATTTATTTTTTTTTTGAATTTCTTGCCTTTTTATGTGGACAAGGAGGGGGTGGGGGACAAATGGGGTACACCTTTGGTGTACCCCTAGCATTTTTCGGGTAAATATAGGCATTGAGTTTATTTCAGATGTTTGTTGATGGTAAGTTTATAATATACTCAGCATTTATTTATGCCTATCTATTAGCTTCTTGCTAACTTTCCTTATCATTAGAAAGACTGAACAGTACTAGGTATTTCAGAGTACTGATCATCTCTTCCTAACTACATGTGCAACTATACTACTACGGAGCATAATGTATCCTACTATATCTACACTCCAGATATACTATCCTGCTGGCTCCTTTTTTTGAGGAATGTTATGTGCACCCTCACCCTTAGTGTGAACCGCACCCCCAATAATACTTTATCCAAGTACATAAAGTGATGCTTCTTTTCTCATTTCTGTTTCTTTTACACCTGGCACGTGCCAAAAATTTCAGTCTTAGGACGAGGGTGCACGCAGCATTCTTCTTCTTTTCCAGTTCCATCAAGGAACTCGTGATTGGCAGAAACTAATTGTACCTGAAGTGCCCAAAATAAGTGAAAAGGGGATAGTATACAAGGAAAGAGAATTACAGTTGAATCACTTGCTTCTTCAGATTTCCAAGGCGGATTCCAATAATCATATTCATTTTCATAGTGTCCCCAACGGGCTATGCATACATGTTGGTCCAATATTGTTGCACCCTGGGCAGTATGAGTGGGGCCAATAAAACCACGGGAAAAAGGAATGAGAAACATTTATTTACTCATACACAATATTTTGAGACTCTCACAACACATTTTTTTATAAAAAAAAAGAGTAGAAATTAAGATGAAAACGCAGAGATTGGTTACTGCTCCAATGGTTAAACCTGATCATCAACCAGTTAAAAGGTAGGTTTAGTAAAGGTTAGAAGTATGCAAAAACATCACCCATTTCTCCATATTTGAAACTAAACTTAAAACAAGTTCCAAACTTTATAGATTTAAATGTTTCATAAACTTAAATAAGGGAATAAAAGCTTCTCTTGTCCCCAGAGTAGTAACTAATTGGCCCCAGAAGGTAGCATAAATAATTGAGGCCTTGAGAGAGTCAAAATAAGCTCCACGCTCTGAAGAGAAGTATAGTGAATTTTTAGTTGTAGAACTTACACTGAGCAAAACAGCTGTTTCAAGAGCGTGAGAAGAACTAAATGTCACATACGCTGTACTTCCATGTTCACCAGCTCTGAATTTGTTTACCAACATTATGAATACAAGGAAACACAGACAAAAACAAAAAAAAACTACTCCGTATTTGAATATGTAACACAAAACAACAAACATATTATTGTATGCAATCATTCAGTCTTTTCAGACTACTAGAAGAACATAAATGGGATGACCATCAGGAGATTACTTCATGAGAACAGAAGAGTAGAAAAATAAAGGAAACAAAAGCTAGTCCACTTGCATGAATCATGCACATAGAATTTACAAAACAGATTAACCAAATAATAGCAATAAAAAAAATTAGACATACCCAATCAGTCATGAGAGGAAAACAAACGTAAGTCAATACAATACCCAACATCAAGAATGTCTGAAATCTGAAGATACGAATAAATCAACATATTCCAACCAAATAAAAGATTTTATGCACAACCTGACTATCTCAACATGATCAATCTTCCCACAGAGAGCAAAGAAATCACTAACGTCCTTCTCTGTAGCAAGAGGGGACAGGCCAATAACTTCAGCGGTATAGCCACCTGGATTCATGGCTGCAGGTGCCACCAGACTTCAATAACCAAAAAAACAGAAAAAAAAAAGTAAAGATTCATGTGAGAAAGGCTTCAGTTGTAGAACACTCAACTCGCAGAAAGAAACAATTGAAGATGATTCATAACAAAATCAGCAAAAAGACAAGAAGACGAAGCTGTTATGCGCAAAAAAACCCCAATTCGATAACCTACTGCAAAGTTAATTTCCCCAGGAGCTCCAATCGAGTATTTGTTTCCGAAAAAAAACTTCAATCGAACCACGAAATTGATGTGAATCAAAGCAGTACACAGTACACGAAGTAAACTACGCCGCAAAAAAGCATTCAATCGAAGGATTATGAATCCGTTTATATCATTACATGAACAAAAACGTAAAGATGAAGATAAACACAAGGATTAGTGCGCGAAATGATCTGGGCTTCATACCTTTGGTTAGAGAAAGATGAGATGTCGACCGATAGCCAGGAACTAAACGGTTTGAAGCACCGATCGAGAGAGAAAAAGATTCCATACTCCAGTCTTATATTTATACATATATATATTTTATAAAAATTTAATATTTAAAAACTACGTTTCATTATGAATATATTGATTTTAAATTTACATTAGAATACAACGTGTTTTTTCTACAAACTATAGTCAAAGTTTACAAACTTTGACCAAGAAAAGTCAAATGTGAAGAACATTTTCGGACGGATGGAGTATTATTTAAGAAAATTATTTGAATGTGAAAAAATATTGAAATCGTCACTAAACATCCTCCGTCCACAAATAAACTTCTCGTTGCGCGTTACGATGTTTGACTGAAGTTATTTTCAAATTATTTTATATGGAAAATGGTGTAAAATGTAAAAATAAAAATTACATATTAAAAAACTATATCAAAATATCTACAAAACTAGAGGTGACATGACTATATTGTTTTATCAAATTAATGATGAAAATAGGCCAACAAAGTTAATAAAGTTTGACCCTGTGAGTGAACAGGAAGTTTATTTGTGGACGGAAGGAGCAAAAAAAATATCAAAATAAGATTTTCATATTTTTTTTTCTCGAAATAAGACTTCATATAGTGATAATGTTACACTCTACATGTGTACATTATTATACATTTTGATAATATAAATGTATTTTTAGTTATATTTTGAAAATAAAAACATGGAAATCCTATTTTGATATATATTTTCAATGTTTTAGCCCTAATTTGGTCTTTCTTCCAAAAAATACGGAGTGAGCTTATTTGGAAAGAGCTTATTTTTACAACAATTATGGAATTCAAATTACTCCCTCCGTCCCTCAGTTTTTGTCCACTTTTGACTTTTGGAACTGTTCATCTAAGCACTTTGACTCATCAAATTCTCTCAATGTGTAAGCCTAAATATAGTCATGTGTGATCTTGTTTGATTTGTCTTAACATATACTCCGTAGATTATTAATATATACTACCTCCGTCCCAGAGTATTTGTCCACTTTCATTTTTACACACCATCCAATACACTTCTTTAATCCATTTTATCTTGTAATTTGTATATTAAAAAATTATAAAAATTATATATTAATAATCTATATGTTAAGATAAATCAAACAAGATCACACATAACTTTATTTAGGCTTACACACCTTGAGAAAATTTGATGAGTCAAAGTGCTTAGATGAACAGTTCCAAAAGTCAAAACTGGACGAATACTCCGGGACGGAGGGAGTAATTTCTATAATTTTTTAATATAAAAATTACAAGATAAAATGGATTAAAGAAGTGCATTGAATGGTATGTAAAAATGAAAGTGGACAAATACTATGGGACGGAAGCAGGGCCGGTCCTGAGAATTCATATGCCCGGGCCGAAACAGAAAAAAGGCCCTAAAAATATTTGTGATGATCTAACAAATTAACATATTTGTAGATGCTCTTGCTCTTCCATCTCTTTTACTTATATTTCATCGTCTTCAGAACAAGTTTAATAAACTTATATAGAGTTCTGATTTGACTCATTTCTTCATCTCGCTTTCTCTTTTTTCTTTTTTGACTACTGTATAATTGGTTAGGAGCCATAAATATTAAATTATTTTTGAAATTAAATCCAAATTCATAACCTCTACTACTTAGTAAATAGTAAAATCAAGTACTAAAAACTGAAAAAGCAAGCAAATATATAAATATAATCAATTCGTCAATTTTTCTTTTTTTAATTATTTTCTTCTTTTTCAGTTTTAATTATTTTATAAATCATAAATTCATATCAATTCATAAATTTACCCTTTTTTAATTTTTTTTGGGTTTTCAGTTTTTTATATAAATATATTATAAATAAAAAATTCTAATCAATTCATCCAAATCAAATAAATAACACATAGAACCATTAATTCATTCTATTTCAAAGAATGAAATTAGAAAAGATTTCAAATTAAAAACTAATAATTAACCCTAGATTTTAAATCTAAAAAATGAAACAATGAAAGAAAATTAAGATTTAAGAAATAAAAATTATAAAATTGAAAAACTATGAATAATTGAATATGGAATACCGGGAGGGTGGAGGTCGGCGTCCGGCGGCGTGCCGGCGTCCTTTCTTCGGCTATCGACTCTTGCCCTCTTCTGCGTGCTTTCTTGTTTCTCCGGCAGTCTCTGTGGATTCCCCCTTTTTTTTTTGTCTACATACGGGTGAGGGGTGGATTGGGGGGATTTGGGACATTGGGCTAAGGGGTAAAGTAAGATAAGTGGTGAGGGGTTGGGCTGGGCCTAGGCCTTAATGAGATGGGCTTCTTATATACACATATATATATAATACTAAAAAAATTTTGTGCCCCTTAATTTATTGGGCCCGGCCCGGACGGACACTTTGTCTCCCTATTGGGCCGGCCCTGGACGGAAGGAGTATAAAGTTAGAATTGGGAATGATAATTTTAATTTTTTGTTTGACAGCACAAAAGTTTGTAAATTTGGAATTGATAGTACCAAATCAATTTTATAGATTTTAACTTTTAATTTAATTCTTCTGTCAACTTCATGTACCAAATGTGGATCTAATCAATACTTTTTATGAACTGGGAAGTGGATCGTTTTTTACAGTACAAAATACTTAATTCTTTTATAATATCAACCCACAAAAGTCTATAGAATCAGAATAAATTTTAAGACCACGTGAAAGTTTATCTATAAATTGATGAGGAGAGATATTCATTTAGTCCCGTATAATTTTTTTTAGCTATGCATTAATCTTTAAAATTTAATCTTTAAAAAGAAAATAAAAATTATTTTAGGACGTTAAAAATGAAAGAAGAATGGTTATTTTGGTCTCGAGGGAGTTTTTTGTACGTAAAAACTACTTCGTATACCATTCACAACCTTCGCCCCAGTTAAATAAAATTTCTTCATATATACTAATTGTAAAAATAATTTTATTATATTTTTCTAGCACAAAACTTCTGAAACTTAATTTTATCAATGCGCAAGATAATTTTATTGTAAATGGTGATTAAAATTCATCTACTTTGGCCAAAATAATTTAACTGAATAAACGAAAGAAATATGGAATATAAAAAGGAGAGGTGATATTATTTTCTCGAATTAAATAAAGTAATTGGAGAATAATAGATATACACCGAAAAAATGTACCTTAATTGTATATCAAGACAAACACAGACATGATATCTATGCCCGAATAAACATAAAGTGTCAACATTTGTCTTTGTTATATAATTGTAGTACACTTTTTTTTATGTATTTTTCAAAATAATTTGATTGCATGAACTATGCAACAAAGTATGCCCCGTATATAATTGTAGGCAGGAAGCCTAGAAAGAGCCATTTTTAGCAATTGCTTTTCTTGGAGAACTTCTGCCCGTCTACGGCTCTTTTTTTACTTTACAGTTTAAACTTTAGGTTCCTCAAACACTTAAATTTTTTATTCAAACACAATAAATTTAATTTAAAGAACTTTAATATCAATTCTTTCAAATTTAATTTAAACTGTTAAAAAAACATAAACGTTAACGCTAATTATAAATAAAGTTTATTTCTTAGTTTAAGTAGTAAGAGAACCAACCACCTCCAAAAGATTTTAAAAGAAAATATTATACAAAATTCATTCCCAATGAGACATTCACTATGCGTATGTTTGGAAATAGCCTTAGAGATTAGCGTTCTGGATAAAATTTTCAACGGTGCAGATTACTTTGAAAATGCTACCCGTAGATAGCCTTTTCAAAACGCTAACGCTAATATCTAATTATTCCCAAACAGGCCCTATATATTCGTTTATGAACAGTACTATATTAGGAGTAATCATAAACATTGTTGCTAGTTGCTACTTCATACTACGTGTTTCATACACTACTATCTTTCTTTTGGGATTTTTGCGTTTTTATCGATATTTTTAGTTGACACTTTTTTTATATAATTTTTATTAACCTTCATTAAATTATCTTTAGTGAAGAAGAGGTTTACATTTTACATTCTTTTTTATAGAATTCTAACAGGGAGTAGTAATTATTAGTCAAAGTTTAATTGGTTTGATTGTAAAAGTATAAATGAAAATTCTTGCAGAAAATAACATTCTCCCAATAATTCCATGATGGTTAATAAACTACCAAATATTAACTCCCGGGAGTCGATAAGGAGAGATCCATAAAACATGACTGTGGTATGTGTTTTTGACAGATCAAATAAACAAGGGCAATGCTAGAGTACACGAAAGGGCATACCTCATTTGTACACCAAGGCAAAAACAGAGACACAGAGACACTCAATCAAGCATAAAGATGCGAGAGGCGACATCCTGTACCAGCCAATCAAATCCCTCGAGAAGCCCTTCTCCCGTAAACGCACTACACCCCACGATTCTCCAGTGCCGGCTTTTATCCATAGCGTCCAGATCAAGCACCTGCCCAGAATGAGACAGTACTAAAAATAATAGGGATTCGTTTCAAATAAGCTTTAGAACGGCTTTTTATAATGTCAAGGGTACACCAAAATGGGGTACTACGTTTGTATACCAAGCAAAAACAGACAGACACACACAGACACTCTCCATGGTGCTCGCACAAACATTGAGTGTCTTTGTGTGTCTGTTTTTGCTAGGTGTACAAATGGAGTGTCCCATTTTGGTGTACCCCTAGCCTTGCGCCCATATAGAGTAAGGTCCGGGTAGGTCTTTTTTTTTTTTTGAATTTTGGTGGTTTTACACAAGGTGTTTCATTTCACACAAAGATGATAGAATATGTTTTTCTATGCTTGACTAGAAGGTGAAGCAGTCTGTCCGGCTGATATGAGTCATTGGATTAGCATTGGCCCTACAAGTCAAACGCGAAAGATCCTGACCAAGCACAAAATAAGCATTCAAGTTTTTTTTTGCCAAGTATAATGTACGTTGGTACTGAAACAGCCTCTTTGTTTATAGAGGGGAACAGACTATCCAGTCTCCTATCATAAAGGTACCCTAATAGAGTTTCTTGCAGGTATCTATTGCCTTGTTTGAATGTCACTACAGTCGTATAGTTAAAAGTGTCCTAAGTTAACAAAGATATTTAATCGTAGAAAGTCTAATCACATTATAGTAATTATACAAATTATACATATGTATATATAAAAGACAGTATGTAAAATCTTACTTTAGCTATTTCGTCTGGAGAAAGGGCACCTTGTATGTCCTGTTTATTAGCAAAAATCAATAATGATGCTCCTGATAGCCTCTGTCAAGTGCCAACAAAGTATAATAAATCAAAATTCAAATATAGAAAGTGATGTGATACTTGTGTTAAGCCAGGCTTGGGAGATAAGAGAAAAAACAATGGTTTGCTTAGTCGGTCTCATTACTCGAAATTAAACAATAGAGGACACCAACGGCAGCAACATGTTCATGGTTTATATAAATAATTACCACAAACAAATGTGTGCCAAGCATAGTGAAGGATCTCTAAGAAATTGGGCATGGTGGAAGTGTTTCTGGTTCCAAAGATTCATGATGTTCATGGCAATCGTGGCATACTCCCTTCGTCCAAAAATAAACTTCGCACTTTTTTCTTTGGTCGTCACTAAAATAAACTTTACATTTCTCCTTCTTACTACCTAGAAATGAAATATGTGCCCCATAATCTTTCTCTCGCCTCTAATAAAGTTTTAAACAAGCACCTACTTTTCAACACTTTTCTTGAACTGTGAAATCAAACCCGGAGCTAATTTGGGGACTAAGGGAGTAACAGCAAAAATAGTACCCGTATACAATTTATTATCGTGTAGCCCTAGTTTGAGTGATTCCAATGCCATAAACTTGTGTCTATAAAAAAAGATGCTTAAAATAAACCGGAGTAAATAAATAAAAACGCTGAAATGAGCCTCAATTTGCTCCACCAAGTGGTATCCCTCACAGGCTCACACACACAAATTATATACTCCTATTTTGTATTTTCCAAATTAAAAGTGTCTTTTGCTTCTACCATTATTTTAATGAAAACAAGTAAAATGAGTTCATTTTACAAAATTGTACTTCAAGATCGACAAGCAATTTCAAATAATCAAATCATTTTAGAAAATCAAGAGAACATATGGCGAATTGGGAAAAGCAAGTAACCATTATGATTGAGATAATAACCTTGCTTTTGACAAACGCTGTGGTGGAAATTCAGAGAACAGGAATTCTTTTGGGTTATCCGGTTAAGATCAAATACTATCTTAATCCTCACACCGCTTAAACAAATATTAAGTACACTTGCTATTTTGTATGGAAAAAACTCTTTGCTCCCAAGCAATTAAACTTTGCTCCCAGGCCAAAAACTGGCCGTGGACAATAGTACAATACTAGCACTGTGATTCTGGAGAAGCTTAAAGGAGAGAACTGAAGCACATTATAACTTTTTTTAGAAAGGTAACAGGCCAGGCTAGCCAGAAAATACCTACCCAAACATGGTGTTAAAGATCATATATTTGAAATTTTTAGTACTTGTACAGATACTTATCTAAGATGTCTTGTTGATCTAGATAGGCTTGGCCTTCCTAGTTAGAGATTGGAATTCTTGTAAGGTTGTTTCTAATAATATCTTCTCTTATTGAGTTATTAATTTAAAAGAAAATAGAGGGAGAAAAGTTTTGTTGAGCCAAATGCAATGAATTGTGAGTGTGCCATGGGGAGTATTATTGAACCGGGGGAGAGAGGTTGAGAGGTCAAAGTATACGGGTATACCTCTTCTTTCAAAAGATTGTGCAATTCATATCTGCAGTCATTTAACCTTCTAATATCAGAACTGTCCACAACCCACACCAGGCCATCAGTTTGTTCAAAGTAGTTCCTCCAATAAGACCTTATGGTTTTTTGCCCCCCAACATCCCATATATTTAGTGTATACCTGCCAATAATAAAGTCATGTAAATAAAATCAGAGAAATATCCATGAAGTGCAAACAATGAGAGAGGATAAAAGCATTGGTGGTCACTAAACTAATTTTTGTACTCAAAATGATGGTCACTGAAGTAGCTAATTATTTTCATTCAGGTCTAAGACACAAGAAAAATGCCATAAATGAGACTATACACACACAAAAAATGAAAAGGCAAGTTGAAGTCAGATTTCAAAATAAATGCAATAGCTATAATACACTTGCATTAAATAATTTAAGGAAATTTTGAGTTATCCAACCTCTTATGTCTTTTGTTAATGTATAGAATAAGTGTCCCCTCCACCATACACCAACCCCACCTAAATGCCGCAAAAACATGAGCATAGAAGCAATCCTTTTGGACAATCTATTAAGATAATGTTTCCACCATTTAGTACAAAACAAATTATCCCTATGTGGAAATGGCTATGTCCCCATATTAACTTTGCCGCTATATTCTTTCACCCATTCCTAAATTATCTTTCCATTCCTTCTAAAAAAACTAGTTGTGGTGGATAGAGTTTCTTTCCTAAGTAAACCTCAACTACATAGTTCTATTATATTAATAAGTGCGCTCAAATAAAAGCAAATGAGAAGCTAATTTGGTCGGAAAAGGAATTGCATCTTCACCCATTGCCAATGGAGCTAAAAGATTCAATTTTGACATAGTTAATAGTTTTAGCTTCGGCTAATAATCACCTAACTCAAAATGACACATGAAACTAGTCTTTTTTCTTACTTTTTGTAAAGTTTGGGGAAGTAAATGCTGCTTCAAGGGTTTAGCAGAAGCAACCTCTCTTTTTTTACTAGGGTAAGGTTGCATACATATTGACATCACAGGCCCAGCACAGTTGGGATTAATACCGCATTTGTTAGTGCCGTCGTTGTATAATGGTATTGAATCAACTGGCTTGGAAAACAAGCTCGAGACGGAGTTGCACGGGAACGGGCAGGTACTCACACGGGGAACAACTTTTCCCGATTTTACAAAGAATTTGGGTGTCGGGATGTCTCCAAGTATCCAAAATTGGACGTTTTGAGCACGGAAAACAGCACATGTTTGAAGAATCCGTGCAACATAGGCTCAAGATACAATGAATAATGGGAAAGCGAAAGCAAAAACCCGACATACTTCTGATACGAGATGGTTTTGATGTTGAATCCAAGTGTGGGACTGATGACGCTGGTGTCTTCGCCATTGATTTTCAAAACAATGGTAGTCTTGCCTGAGTTGTCAAGGCCACTGAAAAAATAAAAACAAAGAACACAAATTTTAAGCAACCAAAAACAGAACATATACCTATCTGGACGATCAAAAAAATGCTGGATTGTTGACATACACCATAAGAATGCGCATTTCTTTTTCTTTCCGCTTGATCTTTCGAATGATGCTCAGAAGTCCCATTCTATTGACGTTTGGCGTGTAGATGATTCTGAAGCAAAATCGCAAAGTTTGTTTGAAAGGATGAAGAGAGAGATCAAACTGTAGCAAACCCTAGTCTCTCGTCGTCGCCTGAGCGGTAGCCGTCGCAGCCTCAGGCCAAAGAATTTTGTAGGAAAAGAAAATAAAATGATTTTCTCTCATTTTCCTCACCAACCAAAATGAGGAGAATTTGGTTTTCCTTCTACTTACATTATGTTTGGTTCAAGGAATTTGAAAGCGAAAAGAAAAGAAAATTAAGTGGAAAATAGTTTTTCTTGTTTGGTTAGAGGGGAAAAGAAAGAAAAAATGGAAGGAAAAGAAAATGAGAAAGCAAAATGTACCAAGTTGAAGAAAAATCAATTTCCTCCCATTTTGGTGAGGAAAATGAGAGAAAACCATTTTCTTTTCTTTTCCTTCCAAATTCCTTGAACCAAACATAGTGTTAGTACATTTTGCCTTCTCTTTTTCTTTTCCTTTCACTTTCCTTTTCTTTTCCTCTCTAACCAAACAAGAAAAATATTTTCCTTCTTATTTTCTTTTCCTTTCCCACTCAAATTCCTTAAACCAAACATAGTGTAAGTTTTCCACCTTTTTGTTAGTGGTCTTGGATTGAGCTAGTAATTTCTCCCTCCATTCCTAAAAGATAGCTACAGTTTTATTTTTTGGTCAAAATGTAGTACTTTTTTACCATAAATTATGTAAAAAGTATGTTTAGTTATAGGCCCTGTTTAGAAAACAGCATTTCAGATAGCTTTTGGCATCTTTGACTGACTTTGGCTTTTTTGACCAAGCGAACCGCCAAAACCATTGTTTGGCTAATGTCTTTTTCACTTGGCATTTTGATCCGAAAAGCCAAAATCTGAAATGCCAAGGGGAGTAGCATTTGGACTTGGCGGTTAGAAAAAATAATTTTTTTTAAAATCATTTTTGTTGAAAGATATTTTATAATATATGTAAAAAATAAAAATAAAAATTTTAAAAAAATAAATACTAAAAAAAATAAAATTTAAAATTTAAAAATTTCAAAAAAAGGAAATGAGAAAATAAAAAGCAAAAATCATTAAAAAAAAATTTATATTAATAATTTATTATGAATTAAATGAAATTAAAATTTAATACTCCATATAGTAAAGATTTAATTTTTACATGTAAAAATATGAAAAATAAATATCGCGCGTGTGTGTGTGTATATATTGTTATGTACAAATGTCTTTTAATGTTCTCCATGTCTAAGTTAGACTTTTGATTTTCCCCTTTGTAAGCCTATATATAGAAGCTCCATATGTTGAAATGAGATATCCATATCTTTAGTCTCTCATTGCATTCTTTCTCTTTCACACTCCATTGCACTTTGATCTTCCATTTGTGTTCTTATCAAGGTATATCTCTATCATCTTGTTATTGATAATATTTCTATTATCTTTATTATTAACACGTTATCAGCACGATACTCTAAAAATTTACTCCGATCCTCTTCATATCTTGTCCTTGTTCATATTCATGTTATTGATATATACATATACACTTATTTATTTTAGTTTTTTTAGTGTACTTGTAGATATATTGAATCTAAAGCTCCTAAATATATTAGAGAATTGGCATGTGAAGCCTACATTATGTGTTAAAGTTGAAGGTTATATGATAAAACTCAACTTGAAGTTCGAGTATATATTATGTCGGAAAAAAATTTCATTTCTTTGGTTTTTTTCTCTTTTGGCTAGTGAACTTGAAGTTCATATTCTGATTTCATATGCTCGAAGCATTAATATGAAAACTCAAACCTGAAGATTTGAGTATGCCACATGAATATATAGGTGACATTATTATTTACTATGCAACAAAGAAATAATAATAATAATGTTAATATTATAGACTTATTATTTGTTATTATGTAATGTGCTCTAATTTATCATTATGTCCATAGTTTTGCTCTAATTGTAACCTCCGTTATAATAATAATAATAATAATAATAATAATAATGCATAATAAATAATAATAATAATAATTGAGACCCCTTCAAGTACCTAAGCCGTTTTTTAATAAAAAACCCTATTATTCAATCAATACACATTAATTTATTTATTTTTCACAATAATAAAAAAGAGTTAACATGTTCATCAAAACACAATATATGGGTATATGAGATACTACCTAAGGTCTTATAATATTCAATTACCACCTGAAGTGGCTGATTTTTAGTATAAAAAAACCTCATTAAAAAGAGACATTTTGATATTTCAAGACCTTTGTTCTAATCTATATATGATTCCTCATCGATGTTCCTGAACAATGACGTAGTTAATATATTATAATCAAAGGAGTGATTATACATATTATATTTTTTTTAGATGTAAGAGTTTTTTTTTCTCTTGTGATAAAAGAAGTTAGTGTGGATATAATTTTCTTTTTATACAAAACTGATAGATAGCTCTAGAAGAGCATTGCATAATAAGAGCTGCATAATAGAAGTGATAAAGGTCTCATAAATATTGAATATTTTGAGAGAATAGTTATTGTCCTTCATTGACGAATATTCTATTGGGTATAAACAATTAAATCCTTATTGTTTATGGTGTCTCTATTAATGTTTAAGATACCAGTGGAAATGAATATTACATGACCAATTAAATTATCACGTTTTAGTTTGTGGTGTGAAGAAAAAAATCATTAAGAACTCGAGTGAGTACTATTTGAAGAACAAGTTTCTGTTATTATAAGGACCAGAAGATCCTATAGTCTTGTTCTCATTAGAAGATTATTATGAGATTATTACTAATGAAACTTGAGATTCATCTCATACATATTAAGAAATTGTTCAAGGATAATTGATTGGGCCCATCAACTATTCGTGATCACAATTTAAATGTTATATATGATGCATCGTTATATTTGTTATATTTGTTGACAATTAACTCGTAACCTGAAGTTTATGATATTTGTCCTATGGACATAATTTTTAGGTTATGTTGAACACCATTAGTCACATAAGAGCCTGTAGCTCTAGTTAATATGCAAAATGCATTGAATTGGTGGCTATACTTATGATTATGAGAACAAAGCATTTTATACTGGTTTTTGAATCTTCATTTATGTGGTAATTATTTGGAGCAGATGCTTAGTGGGCATAAATTAAAAGAAATTATCAAGGTACCACAATGGTAGGTAGACACTGAGGGAAGGTTTTTTAAGAAGTTGAATGGAAGATAAATTCCATGACATATGCTAGATTATATATATTCTTCAATTAAAGAAGATGTGAACATGAAGTTCAAGAAAGAAGATTGTAATACGATATTGCAAATAAAGTGCTCATTATGAATTTTATGTATCAATTGTAAACACTTTGGTTAGAAGTGAATTCTAGATATTTTCTCAACCATAAAAAAATGGTCTTATTATAAGGAACCTGTAGTTCCAACATATAAGAACCTGAAGTTCTCCTTCGCATGTATTTTATATACACATGTTCATTTTTATTAATCCTTCCCTATAAATAAAATGTCAAATCTTCAAATTTTTGAGTTTCGTACACTCGATATCTCATGAAGAGAAACAAGTTTGTCCCTTCTCACAATATTTGATTGTTTGATTGTGTGCCTTATATGCCCTCTCCCCCATAATGCATTCAATATAATGTAGAAGACTGTGTATTGACATTGGCTATAACTCCTCGTCTATTGTTAAATGTTTAGAGTTTATGACAAGAGATATATTAACATCAAAGTAAGTTGGTTGTCAAGTATAATGAAATACTAGTATACAAGAAATTATATGAAATGCATCATTGTAAATTTTCGATTCTTGAAGTTGTCAATGTAATTTTGAAGTCTGATTTGCAAAGCAGAGCAAATGAATTACTTGATGCATTCACATATATGAGCAGAGTGACAAAGTTACATATACCAGCATCTTATGCATCGCTCAATTTAAGGTAGTCCCAGAAGTGACTATTGAACATTTTATGTGGGAGAATAATTGGTTTCAAAGATAAGAACCCACGAAAATGAAGATAGTAAAAATGCTATTAGTGAAACCATATACATGATTATGAGTGAAACCCCAGAAAAGGTAATTGTCCCAGAAGAAGACTAATACTATTCCAGAAGAAAATGAAACCCAGAAGAGGTAAATGTCCTGGAAGAGACTAATATGATTCTAGAAGAATAAGTTTCCTAAAGAAACATCGGTACCGAAAGAAAATGAGATCTCTATTAATTATGTACGAGACTGTACAATATGGAACCAAAATGAAACACGTGTTAATGATATTCTTGCATATGCTATGGCAATGGATGTAATCAATAAAAGAGATTACATGCCTAAAACTCAAAGAAGAGTACATGTAGATAGTACATAAATGATTTGCCAAATGGAAAAAGACCCTGAAGGTCGAATATAAGTCACTCAATAAACGGAATATTTTCGGACCTGAAGTCTGAACACTCATAAACGTCAAACTAATAGGTTTAAAATGAGTGTCTGTAATAAACAGAAATAAAATGAATGAGATTATGCAATATGAGGAAACGTAATTATAAGGGACACTTGAAATCGACATCTGTGTGATAATAATCTCTGAAGGATTCAAAATGCCAAAAACAATAAAATTAATACATCGAGATATGTGTGAAGAGATCGTGGAATGGTCTTAAGTAATCTGGTCATATGTGGTACAATTGACCCAGTGAATATCTCGAAAAAGAAAGATACAAATTTGAAATCAACCTATGTGCTGTCATTCAAGGATCGCTCTCAATATTCTTTATTATACCAGTTTACGTCGACGTATAAATATCATTAGATCTCCTGAATAGATGGAGAAAACAAAAAAAACTGTTGAACTCTTGAAGAGAGAATTTGAGATGGAAGATCTTGACATGACATAAATTATACTTTGGATTGTATTATAAACACATATATGATGGCACATTTGTCCATAAGTTAAACTACATCCCGAAGATGTTAACACGTTGAAGGGAGATAGAACGAAGCAAATCTCAACAAAGTTTTTCTCGACATCTAATCTGCAGAAAGAAGGAGAGATTAATGTTTTTCAAGTTAAGCAAAATTTGGTGGACTTATTCACCAAA